TCAATCCACCACCATCATCGGTCATCATCATCCATCATCATCCTTCATCATGCATCATAATCATCATGATCACCATCATCATAGAAGAGGGTCCGCCATCACGAAAGTACTGTAAATACCGAGTAAAACGAACGTGCTCTTAAGAGGGTTGGCAGCAGAGGTGGTTGGTAGGGGGGGGGCGCCTACTACTACTCCTTCTGCTACTGCTGCTGCTGCTGCTGCTGCTGCTACTGCTACTGCTGCTGCTACTGCTAGTGCTACTGCTAGTGCTGCTACTACTACTACTACTACTACCACCACTACCACAACGACTCCTGCTACTACGACGACTACTACGACTACTACCGCTAGTGCTCGCTACCGCTATACCGCTACCGGTACCGCTACTGCTGCTACTAATTACTACTAATACCGCTGCTGCTACTACTACTACCACCACCACCACCACCACTACTACTACTTGTACTACTACTACTGCTGCTGCTCCTGCGGCCGCCACACCCGCAGTGATGGCCATGCTGGAACCCTCAGCCAGCACTCTGCATGCAGGAGGTTCCACCTGGAAGTCGCGGTAGTTCGACCTTGCTGCTACAGCACAGGCTTCAGTTGTGACATGTCTAATTTTGTTTTGGTACCCCCGTCGAAAACTCAATGTTATTTGCAAGCCTCGCCACAGGGGCTGTTTCTATTCACGGTCCAAAAGGCTCTCAAGGATTTCCTCTGAGGTGCCAGCCGTGTGTTGAGACCAGGAAAATCATCTGGGTGCTTTTCAAAACCGGCCAACATGGCCTCAGTTCGGCTGGACAAGATTGGCGCCTTCATTCCACGAAGGAGCCGGACTTCACGCGGTGCGTGCACCTGGATCTGTTGTAGCCCTTATGCCGTTGCTTGCACTTTCAGTGCATTTTAAGATCTCTCCGCTTGGGTGAGAATTCTGAGAGGCTGGCATTCATGACCTGACAGGCAGAATGACGCCATGAAGCTGACCGATCCCACATAACACGTGCACCTTGTGTAAACAGAAAACATGCAAGGATGATCAATGACGCGAACACTTGCACTGAAACATCAAGTTGGCTCCAGCTCGGTGATCCACCGAGGAACTCTGTAACTAGCTGAATGTAACACGATGTAACAACCGTGCGAATCCACAGCACCAAAAATCTGGAGCCCGTCTCGTGATTGGCTTCTCTCCCGAAGTTGTAAGCGTTTCTTCTTTGGGTTTCCCTTTTCCACAGGCTTGAACTGAGCTCGCCCGGCCAGATCCCTCGCAGCACATCGCACTCGTGGCGAGATGCGCAAGGCTAAGTACGCACAATAAACGCTAAACCATAACCCCTACACCCGCACAGTGGCCTTGGAGTGGCACTTGGACTCGACACCAGGTGCATGACCTTGGAACGACACAGCATGACACTTCACCACGTGCCAAATTCAACAGGCACGGGGTTTTCGTTGTTTGCAAGTGCGTCATCTAACTGGGGAAACACGCAGAACCTTCGCTTCCACTTTGAGCCATGTGGTCGGTGACAATACTGTCGTGCAACTGCGTCTTTGTCCTTGTTGGAACTGGCCTTGGATGAACTCCCAGAAATACAAGCAGAACACAAGATCCCAGGAGATGGGAAATCCAGCCGCTGCGCCCAAACCCTGCGTACATCTCCAAGCAAGCTGAGACGGAAGCAACTGCCTTCAGTGGACTTGCCCATAACCTTGCCAGTGATTGATTTTTCATCGAGAACGACTCATTGCAAAGCTTCTCAGAAGATTTAACTTGCTTCTCGCCATGTCCTGCCTTAGGCATGATGCAAAACATACAAGACATCTGAGAATGCGGCGCAAGCTGTCAAACACAACAGCGCTGAAGACAACCTCTGCCACAGAAGCAGAGTCAGAATGCATACGGCCCGCATCTTGCTTCCTAAGTGCTATGCTCAGTCAAAGAGTTTCACGGTGCTGCCGGCAACATGTGCAAGTCGCGAAGACCAGGTGTCCGACATCCTCATGCACAGTACCATGCTGCACGGCGTGACGCTGCTGGAAGCTTACGTTATGCCAATCAAGACCAGGACCGAACAATCATTTGGGTAGGCCTCTTGTTCTTGCAAGGTGCTTTCAGAGTTGCCCTTACTGAGCCATACGCTGACAGAAGAACCGCAGATGTTGGCACAAAGACAAGTCTTGCCAGATCCAAGCTAGGTTTGGCCCTGAAACTCTGCCATCCCACAAGGGCGTACACATAGCAGACAATGCTTTTATCCCAAGTTCCATGGTTCCAGGATCCACATCATCAAACTCTCGACCTATGCCTTACAGCGAGGACCCAACCGATCCAAGGAGCTGCTCGACCGATTCCGGTTGTTCCCACCCGGAATTCGAGAAATGGCCCTGAAATTTCATGGCAAATAAGCGGATCCGTTTCTGGCTGAGATGGATTTCTGTCTCAGCTGTCCGGCGAGTCTGGCGAGGCGTAGCCTGTCGCAGGCGTCATCGAAACAGGACTTCGAGTTCAGTGTCACTGCATCTCGTGAGCCTCAGCCTCACCGTCTCTTGCAACGATTGAATCTGCTTCCGCTTTATGGCATGAGGAGGGATGAGTCGCTTCGTGTATTGAGACGTGAATAACCTACTCACGCTGTAGCCAATCCCACGACAGCCAAATCCGCAACAACTGAAAAAGGGTTACAAAAACCTCCCTACGCCCGCCTGATGAGGTACCATTAACTGCTGGCTTGGCGATCTTGTTGATCAGCCAGGACCTCGTTAAGGCGACACTCCATGTGGTCAAACACAAGAGAGAGAGAGAGAGATATATATAGATATAGTAATACTAATAAACTATTATTATATATATATTTATATGATACAATATAGTATATTATAAAGGTGTGCTTTTACCGCCTGGCCAAGCCAGAACACAAGGCGAAGTACGGCTGCCTATCTGCAGCTGTTTGTCCGGTGCACCTTTTGCCTGGGCGTCGGGCGAAGACTGTACTTTGTCTCCCAAGCCATCTATCAGCTTGATCCCCAGCTCTCGGCAAACATCAGCCTGACGCGCATGTCAAGTGTCAAAACAGAATTCATAAACCAGCTAAACATGAAGCAGCCTACAGCAAGCCTCTGGGACATCCTCGTTCTTGATATCCCCACCTGGATCAATCGACCCAAACCCGATGCTTACCTAGATGATCCGCAGGCCCTGGAAGCTGCAAACTCGCGCAGTAAGCTGAGGACCGTTTGTGAAGATATCCTGGCAAGAGATGGTTTCAACTGGGGTATGTGGCCATATGCGAATTGCATCCAGGCAGCCGGATGGAGTAATCTGAGGGTTCTTCGAACTGTTTGGTCCTGGCATCCAGCTGGCACAGAAGGCAGGCTTTGGAGGGCAGGACACCGACAAGTTCAATGCTTAAGACCTAAGACTAAGATGCTTCCATCATCTTGCTGGCTGCCAACCCTTGCGTTCTGCTGTGGCCAGAATTGCTAGCAGTTTCGTTAGAATAGAATCAATCGGCCCATTGAGCCTCGAAAAAGGAAACCTAACATGCTCAGACGATCTCAGACGGGACCTGATCGATGGCTTCGATGGCTGCATCGACGCAGGCCAAGGACCGAACGAGCTTTACCCGCTCTCGTGCAGGCCTCGGCCATCCCGAAAAAGAATGTGTTCAGAGCACTTTCATCACTTGGGAATTTATTGCGGGGAGCATGTGAAAGAACGGAAAGCAAAGTAGACGCCTCCCCCCCCCTCGATGAGAGGCATCGGATGACTGGAGATAGCAGGGCTCCAGGCATGAAGGGTTGGCCTTTCTTGTCCTTCGCCTTCCCAAAACGGATGACAGAATCTAGGTTTCTAGGTGAATCTAGGAGCCAAATCACGAGATTGCGATTTAGACAGAGATGACCCGAAGTGACTCTGATCAGACAACTGGGAGGGGCCCAAGTAGGCAAAACCACCTGAGTGTCGTTGTTGACAATGACGATGAGCTTATCACCGAGGTCCTTGCCAGCTGTCGTCACTGTTTAATCTTGTCCCTGCAAGATTGCTGAAAAACATCTCCGACGCTCTCTGATGCCCCCCTGCAGGCTCCCGTGATCGTTGCAAGTACTCGATGTGGCCATAGTGCAGGGGATCAAAATATCCAGAAGCTACAACCACCTGGCGCCGGCAGGGCAATTTCCACATGTAAGACCCCAACGGCCTATTGTCCCAGCTCTGTGACAGAAAAGAGAAGGCTTGCCCAGCCTTCTGCGACATCCCGGCTGCAGTGGCACACGACACCGATGCTGAGAGCCACAGGTTCGGTTGGCATTAAAAGCGTCGGGCGAGGTGTGTTAAGGTCTGCTCAGAAAACGATGTGGGACTCTGCTAGTGAGCACATGAGCTACTCAATACGGCCGTACACACATGCTAGCATCTAAGCCGCGTAGTGGATAAGAAAGGGAAACATAAAAAGTATGCTTTCACAGGACTGGGCCTAGAATAGCAACCTAACAGCAAATCGTTGTAGGTGAGATCAACAACTGACATTCAACTGCCAGTGTGCTTATCGATGCAGCTGGACGCCATGCGTACTACTCAGATGACAGATGCCAGCCTCTGGACCGGTGAATGTCCCTCAGTCTCCAATTCTGCTGAGGTGTGGCAGTGGTCCTTTGTTAGTCCTGAGGACACAAGACCTGGCAGGTTGCATGTTACGTGTGATTGCCTTTATGCCACAAGTGAAACCAGCATCCTGTAAACCATATGCTCGGCCACGTGTTTCGGCATGTGAAGTGTCCGAGGGCACCACGCATGCCGAAACTGCCCGGGTAAGACAAAACAAGAATTGTTTCAGAGCGATGGGCAACTTACATCCGCAGGCTTGGTGCGGATGAAGAGTGCCTTCTGGAGCTGCATGCCCCGAATCTTTTGAGTGAATTTCCGAAACAATGTATGTAGCGGACGAAGTCACCTTGTTGCCAAGAGTGCACAAGCCTATGCGCATTGACCGCAGGGGCGTTAGTGCGTTTTTCGCGCGATGAAACCAACCAATTCTGAATTCTGGAAATGGAGCCGCAACGTTCTGCTTCGTGCGACGTAGTCTTCTGTAATTTTACATGTTGTAGGATGTGAGTCTCTGCTTCTGCGTGTGTCTCAGGTTTGTTGCACCGTCATTGGCTCTTCTCACGAAGACGAAGCATTTCTAGCTCTTTCCTGCTGCAAGCTTTGTTCACGAGTTCGCGAAGGTAATCGCTCAACACATTCATGCCTGGCACATCCAGGCTGAAGGTATGCAGACATGTTTGGAAATCATGATGCGGCTATTCGCTCATAACTTGTAGCCTGAGAAAAAGCCCATCCCAAGACTTTTTGGTATAACTCGCCGGAGAAGAGTTCATCTGACGGTCATTTGGTCATAGTTGATCTCTTCCACGATCTTCTTCGGAGTGCTGGGGTTGAGAACCACCTTGCCCGAAAGGCTGGGTTCTTGGAAGACAAGCCGGTGTGATTAATGCCATGCCTTCAGAGCCGGCCATGCCCCAACAAGTGTTTTCGAGAGGGCTGGACATACCAACTCAGGCTGCAGCGTCGTTCCAGTCCCTGCCAACCCGGGAACATTTCCAGCAGCAGCTATAATCCCATCATGCTCGTCCTATTCCGAGAAAGGTGTCGACCAAACGGTCATGGCCTTCGGATGAACTCGTTGCCGAACTTGAGACGCAAAGGCAGCGGAAGCCGCTGGTCATCCTGTCCCATGCCTACGCTCCTTCATAATTACCGGAAAAGGAGACTCCCAATGCAAGCAAGTATTCTCCTGGCGCAAAGGCGGATCATACTCCTCGCCGAACACGAGGTGCCACGTGAACCTGGGTGGCTTGCCCGAGGCCACAGGCTGCCCTGACGGCCCATGCTCAGACACCCACTCCATGGCGTAGAAGTGCGCATGCTGCTTTGACAGCCAATGCTCAGACACCCACTCCATGCCGTAGCAGTGCGTGGAGCGTTTGACCTTACCTCTTAGAACCAAGGCTAAGTACAGCAAAGGCCAACAGATTTAAAGATGTCCGCGCCTGGATAACACAGATCGTGCTGCATGGTGCCGTCGACCAGCCTGACTGAACCCGGCACATCGACTGACAGGTGACAAACATGGAGCTTAAACTTGGGCGGCTAGCTCTACCCACGCAATGAACAGCCGTAATTACGCGTGCGCCCTGAAGCTAACTCTACCTGTCCCTGCAGAAAGATGCCTCAGCATCCGCTGATAAAACTCCAGCGGCCGCTCGCGGATCTGAAACAAAGTTGGTGGGTGCATGGCAGAAGTACTGCAACGTGAGGCTCAAACACTACTCGCCTGTTTGTCCTGGACCACAAACTGCGCACAGCAGTAGGGACCAACCTCAGCCAGTAAAGGCATTTTTTGAATACCGCTTGCTAAACTTTAGTGACCGCAGGCTCGGCTCAAGAAGTCATGAGTGCAGCTGTCCGGCGGCAACGAGAGGCCCCGGTTAGGGGCGAGGCCGCATCTCTCATGTTCTCGCCGAAGATTGCCTAGTGCAAGGCTGCCATGGCAGCACCAGGCAGAACAACCGCATCTGATTTCCGGCATTTGGCAGTTGGGACCTCGTGCACGGCGTTCAAGCACGGCGTGTAGGTGCGAACATGCCTGCAGAATCAAAGCATTCCGGCGAAAAGCACAGCACCACAAATCATCGCAGATCCTGCCCACAAACACACCATCACTCTGTCAAAGCGAAAACTGCGCTTTTGCACGCACACGTGCGCACATATATATATATATATTTATTTATTTGTTTATTATATATATATGTATATATTTACACACACACACACACACACACGCACATGCGCGCGCGTCTGCACCCCCCCCCCCCCCACCTCCAAAAAAAGACGAAGTCAAACATCCCCGCTGTGTTGAAGTAACGCTATTGCAATGTTGCCTGTGTAATTTGATCCCCCATACTAAAATTGAACATCCGGTCCGTGTGGGAGATCCTGTGTGATGTCAGGGGGCCACCGCTGGATTCCACTTTGCCAACCAATCGAAAGCGCAAATAGCCTGACACCTGCTAGTGCACGATCTGCCCCGCGGTCGAGCTGAGATGCTTGCGGTATGCTGCAGTAAGTGTCCAAAGGACTGCATGCCCCATACACAAGTGGCTAGCCCAAGCTTCCATGTAGAGAGACTGCAAAGCCGGGCCTTGCCCCGTTAAGGCTGAGGAAGGGCACGGCCTTGCAAACGAAAAACAGGAAGTGCCCTTCGCATCCCGAGCCTATCATATACTGCATCAGTTGCATGGCTAAGCATTGCAAAGGCTCCTCGAAAAAGGATGGATCCGAAGCATGCCCAATAGCAGCCAACTTTTTCCACCGGCCAGCTGCAGCACTGCCTTCTCACAACTGTTGACTGCCATACTGAATGCGGAATCTGAAACTTCCACTGCCGTACTCGCAGAACGAGCCAGAAAGCAACATGTGAGCTCCCAATTGGCACCTCGGGCTATCGAATCTACAGCCGCGTTTACAGTGACAGACGTTTGCTGCAAAGACCAAGCACGGCATTGTAGAAAAAGGGGTAGGGCTCGTTGCCACTGTCTGTCTCCACCAGCAACACTGATTGCAGCGTTGAGAACTCGAACTTCTGGCCCTGGGCCTATGAAGGCAAAAGCCGTCTCCCAGCGATCACAAGAGCTGACGAGGCAGGTCCAAGTGGAAGAGTCAGTCTCCAGGCTGCGTTCGAGCATTTGTTGTAAAAGCGATACCCCATGTGGCCATTTCTTGATTTCCCCCAGCCTCGAGATGACGATGTTGAAGACAATGCTGCTCGCAGAAGCTGCTACATCAGCCCGTTCAAGCAGGAGCGGTGCGATTTGCCAGCGCCCTGGATTGATGCCACAGGCGCCCAAGAGAGAGCCGAACGACACCTCACTTGTCTGCACGGCTTTGCTGCAGGAGGCAGTTGCCAAACTCAACGCCTCGATCCAAAGGTTTCGAGTCTCCAGCGCGTTCAGGACCACGTTACTTGTAATCACATTCGGTCTTACATGCACCCTAGAAAGCACAGCTAGTGTGTCATAGGCTGCATCCCATGCTCCCTTCTTCCCACACGCACGTGCCACTTCGGTGAGAGATACCACGCTGAAGGCCTGGCCTCTGGCAGCCATCCATGCGAGGAGCTGGAGCGGCAGCTCCCAGTCGCCTCCTGCAGCCACGCCCGCGACGGAACCGTATGAGATGCTGTCCAGCTGAACCCTGGCAACCGCGACCTCGTGAAAGACCAGGAGAGCCTGTAGCCAGGTTTTGGCCGACGAAGACCCGCTCAGAATCGTGTTCAATGTTACCAGTCCTATCTCCAAGTTCTCGTCGTGACCGGCCTGAAGTAGCTTTGAAGTCTGTCGCCAGGCCCTCCCCTGAACCGAGGCAGCAAGAGCAGCATTTTGTACAACGGGGGAAATCGTAAAGTCCTGTGCCTGGTGAAATGCAATTTGCCAGCGCCTTGCTCTCTGGCAAGCAGTCACACAGGTGCCGTTTGAAACGGTGTTGGGCAGAATGCCATTTGGCGGAGTGGAAAAGACATGCAGTGCGGCCTGCCACCTCTTGCTCGCATCCGCAGCATACATCAAAGAATTGTACCCGACAACGTCCCTCACGATTCGCCTGTCCTGCATAGCTTTCGATGACGCGAAGGAATGCTGCCACGAGCTGCTTTTGGAAGAGGCACTCACCAGCGCGTTGTGCAGGATCACGTTGGGGACCACTGCTTGTCGCAAGAACATGGAAAACGCTTCTGCTGCCGCCTGCCACCGCTGCCATGATTGGGCGGCGGTAATGGCCACACAGCAGGTAGCAGCATCTGGGGACAGGCTGAACACCCAAACTCCATTCACTAGCAGACACACCCGTCGCCACGGACCATGATTCCTGACCGCACTACAGACCATGTTGTGCGAGACCAGGTCAGGCACAGCACGTTCAGCCCTCATGGTTGCAAGCATGCTTAGAGCAGAAATCCATTGGTCTCGCGCATAGGTGCGGCACAGCTGGCGGGAAGCGAACTCTCTGTCCTTGCTCTCTCTGCGCTTGCTCCAGACGACGAGAGCATGCTCCCACGGAAAGCTCCGACTGGCAGAGGCCCAGGTCGAGTCGGGCACAGCCCGACTCTCCCGCAGAAAAGACAAACTCGACTGCCAAGCGACTTTTGCCGACGTCCGAAGACTCGGAGTCTTTTCCATGATGCTGCCAATGAACCCAAGGTGCGTTCCGGCGAGATCTGGCCAGCCGGCTCTCAGAACGATCTCGCTCCATTGCTGTTTGTGGGGAGGCGGCCAATGCAACAAAGCAATGCTTTAACCGTCTCCGAAGCTTTGAGCCTTGAAACTGTCGGCGCTGGGCGGTTCGCAGACCTACTCTTATGACATATGACGACCAGGGTTCAGCTGCCGGAGGGGCATCGCATCTTTCCCACAACCAACTGAAGGGTGCGTGTGCCGAACAAACTGATGCCACTGATGCCGCCATTTCGTCCCTGGGGTCCTGGCATATGTGGCAGCAGCCACCATCTTCGTAACTACATGCAAATACCTGAAACGAAGAAATTCAGAACATGATGCGCGACTCGAGGAACATCAAGTGACAGGGCTCGAGCTGCTAGGCAAAAGCACGACCAGCTTCCATGCAAGCGGTGTCTTCACACGATGTCAGTCGCTTCTTATTCAACTTTCGCAGCTCAAGGTAAGGCTTCTCGAGCAGACCTTCAAGTCCGAGGAGCAGTCTAAGCCAGTCTGAGATTCTTCATGCTTTCTTTCTGGGGGAACGTTCCTGCATTGGGAATCTCACACTTTCGCTCGACCTACTATAGATGTAGGCACCGTGGACGACTACTCATGCACTGCCAGACTTCTGCTCCATTTCTTGGAGTTCTTTGAGCCGGGCCACCATCTCAACGACTTGTTGATCCTTGTTGACGTCTTTTGCAGGCTGCCCCTGATCGCTGAGCAGCTTCTTCCTCTCTGGAATAAGGATTGTCCTCAGTCGGAAGAGTTCTTCAGCCTGTGCCTTGTTCAAGCTGCCGACATGCTCTTCGACTTTCTCTAGGTATCCTTGAAGCAAGCCCCATGTCAGGAAATGCTTCAACGAGATTTGGAGCTCCGTGATCTCTTCCTGGTAGTCGGTTTGGAAATGCTCTACAACTTGGCCTTCGCAGGCCAGCAGTGCATACAGAGCCATGACCTTCTGAACTTCTGCTTCCTGCTCCTCCTCATTTAGGCTATCAACCTTGCGTTTTCCGGCTGTCACATAGTGGACTGCCTGTTGCCCCATCGCAGAATCTTCGAGCACCATGTGGTATGCTGGCGTGAGTCTGTATTTGCATTCCATGTGGATCTCGGGGATCAAGCGGATCAAATTGAAATGGAGTAAGTGCCTCAGAATCATGACCACGTAGTCACTTCTCAAAGGGCAACTTTGTGCTATGCGCTGAACACTGCTGACACCATCAATGAGTCGCACAACCTCTTCCACTGCCGGGTCCAAACTGAAAGGCAACGCCGGCAGCTTGGCTGCCGATCTCGGAGAAGAGGCCAGAAGCTGGTTCAAGTCCATGAGTGGGACGGGGACCAAGGTGTCATCTTCGATTTTTGTGAGTGCAGGAACCCATCTGCGGACTTTGAATGCTATAGCATGGGACATGTCGATGCGCACAAAGCACTCCTCAGCATCGTTGATTTGCTGCCGGAGCTGCGCTAGAACGTCCCGGATGGAAATTCGATCCCTTGGGTTGGAAAGCAATCTAGTGTCAGTTTCCAGCGATTGAAAAGACATGGCAAGAAGCTGCGCGATATCACGATATGGCTCGTGATGTTTGCTGCTGTCAATCACCATGCAAATATTGAACTGGAAGCTGTTGCGATGATAAAAGGCATCCTCGATGTATACAGGAGTACCCATCATGACCCGGTCGCCGTACACAATGGAGACCACACGGCCCTTGATTGTGGAATCCGGCAGCAAGTAGTGGCCGACCTTCTGAAAAGAATAGCCGTCAGCCCCGAGGGGCGGGTCAGCGCACTGCACGATGGGCCCCGCGTCTTTATCGAAGACACAGAAAAGCAAGGCTTCAAGGTTGCACTTGGCAGCTGCGGCCCCATTGCTGTCAAACATGCTCTATGCTGGCGGTGGTAAATCGGAGTTTGCGAAGAAAAACTGACAGTTGTGAAGCTGTGGAAAAAAGCACGGAGGCAACCCAGAACATGATCCCCGCCCCTGCGCCACACCCAAGCTGTCATCTCAGCAATCTTCGTGAGTCACGAGTTTGCAAACGTTTGTAAGCGCCACGAGCTTGAGCAGCAACGAATATTCGTTGTTCAGGGTTGAAAACTACTCCTGGCCAATGGCAACCAACACGGAAGAAATCTCACGACGTGGCACGAGAAGTGCAGGTGCTCGCTGGGATCTGCCTGCAGCAAGTTTTCGAGCTGGATTCTCGGTTCAGTGCTGATGGTGGGTCTGAGCATGCATACTCCATTCCAAATACATGCTGCACAAAACTCTCACGTGGCCGTGGTTCTTACCTGGCCTGCAAAAAGACCGTAAACGTAGCCAGGTTCCAATAGTTGGAGACGATGTGGGCCCTGGCTCGCATCGGCCCGCCCAATTTGAACGCCAAGTAGCAGGATCCTTGCTATAAGGTACAATAAGGACCCCCATCAATTAGGTACCTCTTGACAACATCCCTCTACCACAGCCGCCCAAGGTAGGACCGGGGCAGGTAACCCAAGCACTCATCTCCACGGGGACCGTCGACAGGGTCTCTACCTTCAGCCGATGTCTGTTATAGATGCATTCCCTCCCAGTTTGTATGCATCGAAACAATAGTAGTTTGGCTCACTGACTGATACTCTATGTATGTATGTGGGTATGTATGTGTATATGTATACGTAAGGTTTGTTTCTGTGTATGTATGTGCAAATGTGTGCGGATGTGGATGTGCATGGACAATTGCATGTGTGTACGAGTGTGCCTGTGTGTATGTATGTATGCATGAATGTATGTATGCATGTATACGTTGGAAGTATGCATGTGTGTAGGTAGGTACGCAGTCATGCAGATATGTATGTCTGTGTATGTGTACGTGTATGTACATGTATATGTCTGTGTGCATCTGCGTCTGCATGTGGATGTGCATGTGCAGTGCATGTGTGCGCATGTATGCCTGCATGTATGTATGTGTCTGCATGTATGTATGTATGTATGTCTGTATGTATGTATGCATGTATGTATGTATGTATGTATGTGTTTTTGGCTCCCACTTGGCAACGTCCGCAGACACTGCATGGCAGGTGTCGAATGTTCAGAAGAATCAAAGCACACACCCAGCTGCAGTTAGCTCGTGAGGGCATGCACTCCAACGTGATACACAGTCGTCTACAGTACGACGACACTCACGGTGCGTCAGGCGTTCAGCAGCATCAAGGAGACGTACAGTACATTCAGCACTCGCAGCTGTACAACTGAGCGAAATACCAAGAAAAGGACGGCGGGTTTGTATGTGTTACGTATGTATATGTATATGTATATGTATATGCATATGTATATGTATATGTATGTGTGTATGTATGTATGTATGTATGTATGTATGTATGTATGTGTTTACGTATCTATGTACGCATGTCTACCTATGCATGACCATACATGCATAGATGTGCAATGTATATAATGTGCACGCCACATACTGCGTATCTACCATCAGTTTACTTATGCCGCCATTAATATGCACATATAAGCGTGCATATCAGCCAGTTTATTGACAACTGATTTGCGTGCATGCATGCGTGGCGCTCAAGCAGCCATGCTCATGAGATGCATTCAAGCCCTGGCACCTCATTTGTCGGCTTGTGAATCATAGAGTGTTGGCATGTGTTTCCCGAGCGCAGCGCAGGATCTCACAGAGACCGGCGTAAAGTGTTGCATCACTGCCCCTGGCTAGCACTGCGAGATGCTGCGAGCGAGACAAGTGACAAGACACCTGGAGAACCACCTGCTAAGATTCTCGACAAACTGAGGATGATTGAGGGCTCCGGGTGAATGATCCGACTGTGGCAAAGCTCAAATTGTCAAAGCGGCCACCTGCCTGAGAATTTTGGCTCCTCCCCACCTCACGGACGGAATGCAATAAGTTGCCCGTGCTCGCGTCATGTTCAAGCATTCAAGCATGACTAAAGCTGGACATGCGCAGTGCGACATATGCCCTGACATATTATGACACTCTGGAGCAGCACTTCGAATCGAATAGAGGACATGCGATTCGAGCGCTGCGGCCACGGCATTTCTCGTAGAATGTGAGCTGGGAGCCTTCAGATGTCACAGGTTGCCATGATGCCCATATCAAATCATTCACGATGATGAGAGCTCTAGGCACTCAATACGCTACAGCACACAGGGTGGTGTCTCCACCATCTCGACTTCGGAATCGTGCACGAGTCAAGGGGCAGGATTAAGTCCGCGGCCAGCAGGAGCAATAGGCAGTAGGTCTGCCTAACGGACTGAAGGCAATGGAAGTTCATAATGGAAGGAAGCAGCTACTCACTTCGGGTGCGTGATAATATTGTCAGTGGCGCATGACTCTCCCTGCATTCAGCTCCACCGTGCTTTCTGCCTCCACCCACTCCAGTGGCTCTTTGCAGTGCACGATGACGAACTCGAGCGTTATCCCCTGGGAGGATGAGTTGAACTGTAAGGACTGATGTACACTGCAGGCAGTGGCCACTGCCTCTGTCAGCCACTGAGTGAAACAACGATCCAAGCCGTCACAGCATCTGGGCTTGGTACTCTGGGTCCGCCCAACATGGCCGGATAGGACTGTCTGGCCTTCAACTCAACTTCGTTTCTGCAGTGCTTTGGCGGTTGATGGCCCCTGCCTGCAACGCTGCATTTTCTGTCAGCTGCAATCTGGAGATTGCCTGCTGCATTTCTTCGAAACAAGCAGAAACAGCCGGATGCGACCGTGGTGCTGGGTCCCGTTTCTTCGTTCCAGATTTCCGATACATATGACTGCCGAAAGGCATCCCTCCCTGACCTCGCGGTAGGGCCACACAGATGTCTCCTTGGAAGGCAGTGGAAATTTCTGCACCGGAAATGCAAAGCATGACTGCCTTCTGCTGCCGTTGTAGCTGGGTCCGGTGCTGCTAGAATCGGCTTCACCAACTGCCAAGTCAAGTCAGCCAGAAACAAGAAAAGTCTCATCATCCTATTGTGGTGCTAATGACGTCCCAACTGATGTATGACACCGTCTGCATGCACATGCTCCTGAAGGTGGCCTCGTTGAGATCATCGACCATAGACATTGCCTGGAAGGAAGTACCGGCAGCAACATCAACGAGCGCATGAACATGAAACATGCTACAAAGTTCTCGGGCCACGGCAATGCCAGAGTAGGTGTAAGCATCCTCGTCTCCCATCGGAAGTTTAGCCTGCTGCTCTATGAACTCTGCCAGCAGCACTTTTCTTTTTTTTTCGGCCCCTGCCGTCCGCAAGTCGACTGGAAACTTCCAGCAGCGCCAACTCCAAGTGGTGGGGGAACCCTTCAAGCTTCTGGCTTCAAACCTTGCCTCTGCCACGAGCAGGTAAGCCATAAGCAGCGGGGCCTCGAAGGTCAAACACTCGCACTAGCCGCGAGACTTCGCAAGCAGCATATCACGCTCACCACTGCGACTGCCACTACCGCCACGACGACGACGACTACTGCTACTACAGTACTACGGCGCGACTAATACCAGTACAACTACTGTCACTACTAGCACACGCGAACGAATCTGTTCCTACTCCTCTTCCTCCTGCTGCCGCTGCTGCTACCAGCTACCACCACTACCACTACCTCTGTTACCAGTACCGCTGTTATAACGACGGCTACAACTGCACGACGATGACTGCGGCTACTTCCACTGACTAACTGCTGCTTCTCCACTGTACGAGTACTCCCTCTGTACGACTGCGGCTAGTGACCACTGCTCGTTTCGCTGTTTGGCTTGCTCCGTGTTTCGACTGGGCGATCACCTCCTTCCGCTGTCGACCCTGTATTCAGGCCATCCCAGCGCGGATGAGTCTTCTCAGTAGCCATTGGAGACGTCGACTCCTCAAACACGCGCCATGCATCTTCTGCAGGACTTCAACGTGTTACCCTTATTTCGGGGAAAACTCTTCGTCTTCCGAGCATCTCACTGTTCTTGGGTCTATGGCATAGAACACACTACATGTAGCAGTGTCTGCAGTTGAGTCTCTGTTTGGCATCGCCTGGAATCCCTGCTCTGCGGCTGCATTAAACAGCTCGGCCAAAGCGGCCATGCGACAGCGCTCTGTGGCAGGCAAGCCTGGATCGGCCACACAACAAGCGCGACAGCCATATGCAGTACCAGTTTTCATGTGTAGATTCTAGATTTCATGCCATGCACTGATCACAGTGGCATGAAACTTCCTGCACAGCATCGCGCTCGCCGGCTCAGGCCACCACCGACAGAGCCGGCACGGTGCGGAGACATTACAATGTTGTCCAAGCCTGTCACGTCGAGGACAGGCAGAAGACATCATGGCTCGCGGGCTGCCACTCGTGAATCGATGTTCGCCGTAAGTCCTTTAGAACAGCCGCCGACGACAGCAGCCTTTCGAAAAATCCCTTTCTCCGAAGCTTGCACGATTCAGCAGACATGCAAGCATATCGTACGTTGTATGACAACCCACCCATCCGATGTTCCCGCCTCCGAATTCAAACTTTGCAGAAACAGGGGTGCTGCATCGGCTCTTGGCATCTGCAGGGTATTTGTACCAGCAATCCACGCCTGCCTGGGCTGCAGGCACCGAGTTGGAACATGAACTCGAATCTAAGCTGAAACACGCTTGACAGAAGTGGATTTTGATTTGCAACTGCCACCGACGAGTCATCCTAAGTCTATCCTGCTCCTTATTACCCTCTCTCCTCGACCCTGCAAATTGGTCAACTTGGTATCTGTAAGTCGCTAAACAGCCATCGCACCTTGCCCTGCACACCCTAACATCCCACAATCTGTGCTACCGTAAGTCGTGCCAGGAAGCCCCCAGCAAGTGGTTGCTTCGGAGCGCATTGAAGAAAGCTTCCTCATTGAGCACGTGCCCTCCTCGAAGGTACAGAAGGGATTTATTGATATGCTTGCGGTCAATGACCGGAAACGGCCACAGCTGTCGCTTTTCATCATTGGTCGTCCCTTCAAGACCCATCTCAGCGAAAATACTTCATGGATATTAATGGCTGGCAAGGTGCGACCAACGTTGACGATGACCGAGCCGGGCGGAAGCAAGGTGATCTCCTTCTCACCAATAAGACCCTCTGTCTCCGGGGTGTCCGGCAGGCAAATGAAGAGCATCCTTGGCTGTTGGATCGGGCAGCCTATAGACCTGAACCCTGAAGCCCAAAGTCAAGCCCGAGGGTTTGGCAGGGCCGGTAGCTGGGCTGGGGTGTAGCTCCACGGGCTGGAGGTGCAGAGGTGGAGCATCACGTCAGCCTTGAACAGACCAACAATCGAGAAATGCAACTTCACCCAGCCGGAGGTGACCACAACCAGCCAGTAAGGGCCTTACCGTCTTCCCGGATTCCCAGACTAGCCCGAACCGCATCTAAAGCCTGAGTGCAGGAAGCCTGTACTCTACAAACATACTTCAAGCCAGCGTCTTGCAAGGAAATTCAAGGGATGCTAGAAAGCTTACGGTTTGCTCCGGGCGTTGTACTGGTTGACAACCCACTTGCAAGATTGAAGGGTTGGCGGCTTCGGGCGTGGTTGCATGTACCGCGGGCGCGGATGCTGCCTGTGAATACCCGAAGCCAGCCGTTCCACCAACCACTGGCACTAAAGTTGTCTTTCCTTGTCGCGTTACAGATTGGGTTGAGCACCATTGAGGTTCGGGCATGGCTCGTTGACTCAGGTCTTGGATGGTTCAATTTGGAGAGATTGGGCCGGCCGCAGGTGCAATTCAAGTGGAAGTACTTCGGGCAGGAGAAACACTTTTTTCAACATGCCAAGCGACTGCACCATGGGCAGCAAATCATGGAGTTGTGATGGATGACGCAGGCCCACCTCACCTCAGCTTACAGTGAACCCTTTTCGGGCTCAGGTCCCTAACCTAACTTTTGTGGACCCGCAGTGCCTGGCTCGGGCAGCTTGCGATCGCCAGCTGCTGCCGTCTTCCGGGTGGCGAGAACTCGCATATTCATTGCTGCTAACACCTTAGTTAGGTTTGCACCGGGCGAATGATCGGATTGCCTAGAGTTCTTACCTTGTCAAGCGGCGCGTGAGACTCTCCGCCCAACTTCACCGAAGCCCAACCTTCCCAGAAGCAAAAAGCAACAGCACCAAGCTGGCACCAGGAGTTGTACTGTTGATGATAAAAACCCTGCACTACCTTAAGGAACCTAAACTATGGGAATCATGGTATATTCCTTACTATGGGTGTAATGCAGGATTTATATCATCAACCGTAGTAGCAGTAATTCCATCAGCAGCTGCACAACCTGCTGCGGTCCCTCTTCCAGCTCGCTTCTGCCTTCCTTCCTGCTGCTACTACACTATAAAGAACAATCCACTTCCCAAATACTCCTATATTAAGAATATACCTTAAATGATACGGAGCTTGATTTTGTGATTGTTTAAGCTAATTTAACACGACATTCCTTGACTGAGGCGTATTGGACCCTCTGCGTTCGAGTACCAACATGTGCAATCCTTGCTAAGTGCACATGTACCATCGTTACCCTAAACCCTAAAACCTAAACCCTAAATTATAATCTTAAACCCTAAACCCTAAATTATAATCCTAAACCCTAAACCCTAAACCGTTACAACCCTTGGGAATCTGACGCAAGGGACTCCTGCTTCAACTGTGGCATGTTTATGTTAGGAGGGAACAAAAAGGATCCCTGTACTGCAGCAACACGGTTTAGGGTTTAGGGTTTTAGGGTTTAGGGTTCCTGGGTTTAGGGTTTAGGGTTTGGGGTTTGGAGTTTAGGGGAACAAAAAGGATCCCTGTACTGTAGCAACTTTCGCATTTGTATATACTAAGACCATGCCATACCTGAGGCATACATGCGCACATCGAAACATCGGATCCCTGATTGTGTACGTGTAGAATCTAATGCTTGCAAGCTTCAGCGATGGAGCCCACTTCGCAAGCTCAGCAGCCCAGTTGTTCCTTGCATAGGTACAGATAACTAGCTCATTCTATTCCGTTCATCAGCAAACCCTAAACCCCAAACCCTAACCCCAAACAGTGACGGCAATCCTGAACCCTATACCACCCAGACCATCCAAACTCCTCGAATTATAAGGACAAAAAAACCTTGAATCTTAGTAGGATGCCTAGAAACTTATTTTTTGTATACTCCTTCATCAAAGAATTTTGGAAGATCTGACCACATGGTCTCGATAGCCCCCTAAACCCTAAACCCTAAACCCTACGATATCTTTGAAAGCGAGTCATAAGCCTGGTTACCGAGGTTTATACTTGGCTTCAGGTCCCACAGCGAAGACAATGTTAAAGGGCTCAGGGTTTTAGGGTTTAGGGTTTAGGGTTTTGGGGTTTCGGTTTAAGGCTTAGGGTTTAAGGTTTCGGGTTTAGGGTCTAAAGTTTAGAGTTTAGGGTAAAGTCCCTGTTGGGCTTACTATGTAGCTTAGAATAGTTGGGTGATAAGTAGGATAGCTTTAAAACCCACTTCAGGTGCGGTTCAGCACCCAGCCATAACGTGCATGCCCGCGAGCTTTATCATCCCCAAATATTTCGAAAAGTCGCCCTGGGCCAGCGTGTGCCGGCGTTTGGTATGCTGAAATTGTGGTATTTCGGGTCTATTTCAAGCTAGCATCAACGGAAAAGCTGCAAATCCCAAACCCTCGAATCCCATCTCAAATCCGGACAATGCTAAACCCTGAGCCCTGCATGCCAAACCCTGGTGCCCGAAATGCCCCAAAACTGCTCCTAGAATCAAGCTTCAACCCTTAAGGACCAAATGACCCTTGAAAGTAGGGGCCCCATACCCTTAATACTATGAATCCCTATATGGTACATGAACCCTAAACCCTTTTAGGGCTCTTTTCGCCCTTAAACCTCAAACCCGAAACCCTATAGAACCCATAAGAACCCTTTATAGGAACCCTTTTAGGACTGCAGCCGTAGGCTCAAGACGCTGAGGGGAGCTACGATTAACATCGGCCGCTCCAGCTGTCTTTCGGCTTTGAGGTGCAGGAGCAGAGCAATTGTCTGCCTGATGGATGCCTACTCAGGGGGACCACCCCTAAACCCTAAACCCCAAACGCTAAACCCTAAACTCAAAACCCTAAACCCCAAACGCTAAACCCTAAACCCTAAACGCTAAACCCTAAACCCTAAACGCTAAACCCTAAACCCTAAACGCTAAGCGCTAAACCCTAAACCCTAAACGCTAAACCCTAAACAAGGCTTTTGGGTTTAGGGCTTTCAGGTTTTTTGGCTTTAGGGTTCTGGGGTTTCAGGTGCGGTTTAGGGTTTAGGGTCTAGGGTTTAGGGTCTAGGGTGTAGGGCTTAGTGCTGCAACAAACAGAAGCAAACAAAAACATCAGGATTCTCAAAGACACTTACTTCCCCAATAAGCCAGGGAAATAAAAAGGTTAAACTTTCAGATTGCTACGAAATTATAAGAACCCCAAAAAGTTTAAAGTTTAAAGGCTGCATCTTGGGAACTAAGTAAAAACCCTAAACCCTAAACCCTAAATAAGGAGCCCCAAACAAGGAGCCCAGAGCCCCGGGCTAAGAAGACGAAGACTCCAAACTCGATGCCCTAAACCCTCACCAATGACCCAGTACATAAACGCTGCAAGCGTTGGAGAGATCTCCCAAGTGATCACACACAATGTATTTTACATATATACACAGAAACAATATATACATATGATAGATATATGAACAAATAAATAAATAAACATATATATATATGCATGCATGTATGTATATAAGCAAACAGCAATGTTGATTGATTGATTGATTGATTGATTGATTGAATGACTGACTGACTGACTGACAGACTAACCGACTGACTGACTGACTGACTGACTGGCTGACTGACTGACTGACTGGCCGGACTGACTCGTTGATTGATTGGTTGATTGGTTGATAGATTGAAACTCCGACTCCGATTAACGAAAAAAACATAACCACCCCAAAGGAAACAACTGCAAACAACGTGCCCATGAGCCTTTTCGGTGGCGGGGTCTATGTTTAGGTTTCTTTTTGGTCTCAACTTTAGGTTCTCAGGGTTTCGGGCTTCACGGGCTTGCTGAGAAGAGGGTTCGGGGTTTAGGATTTAGGGTTTAGGGTTTCGGGTTTAGGGTGGGTTAGGGTTTAGGGTTTAGGGTTTAAGGTTTAGGGTTTAGGGTTTAGGGTGGGTTAGGGTTTAAGGGTTTTTTGGTGGAGGACAGGACTAATGGTAAGGGGATTGAGATGTAGTGGTGCCTAGTTATGAAGATACCACAGCACAGTACAGGACCCCAACGACACCCCGGAAATTCTTCCACAACAAAACCCTAAACCCCAAACCCCAAACCCTGAACCCCTAAACCCTAAACCCCTAAACCCTAAACCCCTAAACCCTAAACCCTACACCCTTCCCTTATAACCCCAAACCCTAAACCCTAAACCCGAAACCCATACACCCCTAAACCCTAAACCCTTATAAACCCTAAACCCCCCTAAACCCCCCTAAACCCTAAACCAAAGCCCTCCTCACAGGTGTCCAAGCTGCAGAGTCTTCCCCAAGCCCATGTCATCCGCCTTGCTTGCTTCGGTTTAGGGTTTAGGGGTTTAGGGTTTAGGGGTTTAGGGTTTAGGGTTTAGGGGTTGAGGGTTTAGGGTTTTTCTCTCCCACAACCCCCTTACCTTAAGGACCGACATGACACTTACAAGCAGGGGCCCTATAAGGGGTTTAGGGTTTAAGGTTTAGGGCTTGAGGACCAAATTACACTAGGGGCCCTATAACCCTTAGACTATGAATCTCTATATAGTATATGAACCCTACACCCGTTTCAAGGCTCTTTTCGTCCTTAAACCTTAAACCCGAAACCCTATAGAACCCATAGGAACCCTTGAAGGAACCCTTTCCGGGCTCTTCTCGTCCTTAAGGAAGTACCCTAACGGGTTTAGGGTTGGGTTTAGGGTTTGGTTCGTTCGAGTTTAAAGTTTAGGGTGTACCTCATGACTGGGGTTTAGGGGTTTTTAGATCAGGGTGTAGTGTTTGGTGATTCAAGTTTAGGTTTTAGACTTCAATGTTTAGGGTTTCAGGGTCAACCTTAACACCAAAAAACCTACCCTTTTAAGGACTTATATCCCTAAAAGGGTAGGTTCTTTAGGGTCCAGGAAGGGTTTAGGGTTTAGGGTTTCAGGGTTAAGGGTTAGGTTTTAGGGCCCCTAAACCCTAAACCCCGAAAGCCCTAAACCCTAAACCCTAAATAAGGTGCAAGGTCTCGGGCTGAGGGCCACCGCGATACACCCGGAACCTGGAGTGCAAAAAACAACCCTGAACCCTACACATCCCTAAACCCTAAACCCTAAACCCTAGAAATCCTTAGACCCTAAACCCTAAGCCCTAAACATCCCTAAACCATTAAACCCTAAACATACCCTAAACCCTAAATCCTAAACATCCCTAAGCCCTAAACCCGAAGCCCTAAACTCTAAATCCTAAACCCAAACACCTCAGTATCTTGGGGAGGGCTTGGGACGACCTTCTCCTTTCAAGTGGCCAGAAGACAGCCGAGGCCGTTCCTCGGAGGCATCTGATGGCTTGCACCCATAGGCCCCGAATCTTTTGGGGATGACCTTATGGGATTCGACATATAAACCACAAAAAGGAACTACTTAGGGGCCTATGGGTAGGGTTCAGGGATTCAGGGTTCAGGGTGTGGGCCTTCAGGGTTTGTTTTTGGGTTTTAGGGCTTTGTGGTTGTAGGGCTCAAGGTTCAGGGTATTATAGGGCTTCTAAGGACCAAGGTTGAGGGTTTAGTATGATTTACCTTAACCTACCAAAACCTACGTTTATGTAGGTTCTTATTATAAGCCCTGATATGGAATATATTAATAGAGACCCTACAAAGAAGTAGGTTCTGGTGGGTTAAGGTAGGGGATAGGGGGGGGGGGTTGGGGCTTCCGGGACTTTTGGGTCGAGCAGCCAAGTAGCTAGAGGAATCCTCTCCT